GCCCTGGGCTCTGCGCTGCCGGCCCAGGCCAGGGCATCGGGCTGTCAGGTCCCCAGCAGGGACCCCTGCAGCAGTTCACTGGGGAGAGAGGTCTGAGGGAGGTGCCTCCCCTCTACAGGGCCCTGGGTGGACACGGTCCAGAGCTGTAGGGCTTCCCTATAAAGCCAGTGAGTGAGCTAGGCCCAGGAGTGCCCCATGCCTCAGCTAGGGACCAGGGCCAGCCACGGAGGGCCTGCCGCTGCCCAGGTCCACTGAGGCAGTGCTCTCCGCTGTCCCTCTCTGATTCCTTTCATCCTCCCTCCTGGAAAGCAGGCCTGGCTTCCTTTGCCTTTGGGATTATGGCTAGTCTGGGGGCCCTGGGACATGGAGCCCGCCCCCTTTGGCCAGGCTCACCGCCACTGTGCGTGTCCCTGCAGCAATGGCATCCTCTACCAGTACCCTGACCGCACCGACGTCATTCCCCTGCTCTCCGTCAACATGGGGTGAGTGTCGCTGCCTGAGGGCGTCAAGGCTAAGCCTGGGACCTTCCCATTTCCCCTGTGAGGTGTCTGTCCCTCAGCCCCGTCCAGCAGCTCTGACTGGTGCCCTGGGGTTTGCACCCTGAGGCTGAGGGCAACCCACAGGAGGCAGGGCAGAGACCGAGCGGTGCTGCCTGCCTGGAGAGGGTGCGTCTGCAGGGGAAGCTGCAGCCTGGTGGGGACAGGCCCCCGGAGAGGGGGAGGGAGGGCGAGCAGGGCCGCTTCGCCACGGGGAGCTCGGCTGACTCACCTGCCTCTCCCTCACCTGGCCGCATGTGGGTGTCCAGAAAGGACTGGCGATTCTGGGGATGCAAGGGTGGGGCTGTCAGCACCAGAGGGCCTGGGCAGCCTTCCCATGTCCCCAGGGCCCCGCTCCTGCCGCCCGCCTCCTCGCCCCCAGTTCACCCTCCTCCTCTGGCCCAGGGGGGAGCAGTGCGGTGGCTGCCGGAGATCCAACACCACGGATCGGCCCCACGCCTTCCAGGTCATTCTTGCCGACCGGCCCTGCCTGGAGCTGAGCGCCGACAGCGAGGCCGAGATGGCTGGCTGGATGCAGCACCTCTGCCAGGCCGTGTCCAAGGGGGTGAGCGTCTCCCCCACCTCGCCTGCCTGACGGCGCAGGACCCCAGGGGCCCATCCCCACACGCAACAGCAGCCCTGGGCAGCCCGGGAGGACACAGCTGGGGAACCCAGGGGACATCTCAGGAACAGACCTGGAGCTCAGAGTCCCCTGTGGACGGGACCACCTGTCCCACCCTCCTCCCCGCCCACACTCCTGAGGTGGGCAGAACCTGCTGGACCCTGCAGGGAGGGCAGAGAACCAGCCGGGCCTCTGGGCTGGGCACTCTGGACACGCAGCCGCCTCTCCACCTCTGCCAATGCCTCAGGTCATCCCCCAGGGAGTCGCCCCCAGCCCCTGCATCCCCTGCTGCCTGGTGGTTGCCGAGGACCGCCTCTTCACGTGCCATGAGGATTGTCAAACCAGTTTCTTCCGCTCCCTGGGCACTGCCAGCCTGGCCGACATCAGCGCCGTCTCCACTGAGCCAGGCAAGGAGTACTGCGTCCTGGTAAGTGGGGAGGGCGGCGGGGAGGGGCCTGCCGGGGTGGGGCCAGGTGCTCACGCGCCCGCTCTCCCTAGGAGTTCTCCCCGGAGGGCCCGCAGCCCCCCGCCCCCTGGGTCATCTACCTGAGCTGCACTTCTGAACTGGACCGGCTCCTGTCTGCACTGAGCTCCGGGTGGAGAGCCATCTACCAGGTACCCAGCTGCCCAGAAGCCCCGGCCACTCCCAGGACCTGACCTTCCCTCCAGGATCCTGAGGACAGCAGTGTGCCAGCACTCTGGGACAGGGACAGGGACGAGGCTGGGGTGAAAGCTGAATGCGGGTCCAGGAGCGGCCTTTCCTAACCCGGCTCCAGTCACAGTGCTCACGGTGGCTCTGGAGCTGTGACAGGCTGGGCACAGGAGGGGCAGGCCCCTCACCTGCCCTGCAGCTCACCCCAGAGTGAGAGGAGTTCACTGGCCTGGCGCCGGGGACTGTCCCACCTGCACTGAGCCCAAACAGGCTGGCCTGAGTCAGAGAAGGGCTCGGACAGAGGTTCGCCAGGCAGCATTGCTGGGAGCACAGGGCCACCTCCCTGGCCACCGAGGAGAGAGGTCTTCCCAGGACAAGGTGGTCAGGGAGCACCCCGTCAGCTCAGGCCCTCCCCAGAGTGCAGGAGGATCTGGCAGCGTGGAAGCGGTTCCCTGGGAGAGGTGTGGAGGGACTGGTGGGGGAGGCCTGATAGGCGTCCATGGCCAAGGCTGAGCCCCGGAGTCCTGTGGCCCCTGGGAGCATGGAGCCTGCAGCCCTCAGTGGTCCTGTCTTGCCCCGACCCAGGTGGACCTCCCACACAAGACCATCCAGGAAGCCTCCAACAAGCAGAAGTTTGAGGATGCCCTGAGCCTCATCCACAGCGCCTGGCAACGAAGTGATAGCCTCTGCCGTGGCCGAGCCTCCCGGGACCCCTGGTGCTAAGGCAGCTGGGTGGTGTCCCAGGAAGTCAGGGAAGCGGAGGCGGGCTGAGCAGCAGGCTCAGGGTCGAGGTCATTGTGCTGCTTCGGAGCCAGGTCTCCACGCACGTTCTTAGCCCACTCCTGCCCCAGGTGGCAGAACCACCCAGCTTGAGGCAGGATCTGTCCACTCCCAGGGATCCAGAATGTGCCCACACACCTGGGTGTCCTGCCCAATGGGTAGTGGCTAGAGGCTACTGGGGACAGAGGATCTGAACCAGGCAGGCTCTGCAGACACAAGCTGTCCTCCCAGGTCAGGACCTCAGGATGGTGACAAGAGGAATGTCCATCTACAGAGGAGTGGAAGGACCAGGAGGCGGGAGCTCCCCGCCCCAGGTCAGGGGCCTGGGCAGAGGCTCAGGGCCCCCGGGTCCTGAGTGTCCAGCCACCCTTGTTCATTTTTGAACACTCTCCTGTCTGTGCGGGGAAGCTGGAGCACCGGGTGTCTGCGCATGCTCCCTCTCACTAACCTACCCCACGCACAGCTGCCCGCCTCACAGAGCCCGGCCCAGGCCACCAGGCGCCCTGCATGCCGTGGCCCTGACCACCTCCCCCACCTCAGCAGAGCCTACAGAACCCAGGGATCAGGTGGCTCCTTTGGCCAGGAGCAAAGAGGAGGGTGGGAGAGACTGGGAGAAGAGCAGGACCCACCACACACTGAATCTCCCAACTGTCCCCTGCTTGGCTGGGGCCTGGGGCTTCCTGAGCATCTTTGTCCAGAGTCCGGGAAGGGGTCAGGTGGTGTGGGTTTTGTTTTTTAAAATAAAATAGACATGTTATATTGCCAATACTCGTCACTGGCCCTTTTTGAGCAAGGTAGGTAGGGTCATCTCCAGACCCTCCTATTCTGCAACATGCCTGTCACCCATCAGTCGCGGCTTCCCCCATGGGTGCTCACCATCCAGAAGTGTGCGGCCCAAGGAGTCTCTGCCTGACTACCAGGAGGAGGGGCTGGGATAGTGGGCAGGTCCTCCTGGCCAAGTGACTGCAACCACAGGTCACTCCTCAAACAATGCCCTTCTTTTTTTTTTTTTTTTTTTTTTTTTCTCCACCACCCTCGGGGGCCCGGATGTCTGGGGGTGGGCAGGGGTTGGGGGATGGCACAGATGCCGTGGGGGTGGGGCCGCCTTTTACTGAGTGCAGTGCAGCGCTAGCTGTTCCACCTTCGCCCTCCAAAGTCCCCTCTGGAGCAGGCCATCAGTGAAGCAGTCCCCCCATCTGAGGTGTCGCCTCCCACAGTTCAGTTACCCGAGATCGACTACAGATGGAAAAATATTACACAGGCTGGGTGCAGTGACGCAAGTCTGTGATCCCAAGCTACTCAGGAGGCTGAGAGAGGAGGATCACAAGTTCAAGACCAGCCTCAGCAGCCTAGCAAGAGCCTGTTTCAAAACTGAAAATACGACTGGGGATGATGGTCAATGCTAGAACGCCCCTGGGTTCAATCCTCAGTACCAGCAAATAGGAAAATATCAAAGGGATAAATATTCTTCAGTTTTATGCTGTGCACCATTCTGAGGAGGGTGAAGGATCCTCCCTCTGTCCCGCATATACCTGTGCTGTACACTCGCTTCCCACAAGTGGCTTTGTAGTTGCCTTGGTTTTCAGATGGCCTGAGGCGGTATAGCGGCATTTTGTGTTCAAGTAGCCCTTAATTTACTTGATGGTAGCCCCAAAGCTCAAGAGTAGTGATAGCTGGCAATTTGGACATGCCAAAGAGAAGCTATGAAGTGCTTCCCTTGAATGAGAAGGCGCGGTGCCAGCATGGCTCAGGGACAGCGCGCTGTCAGGCGTCCATGCCAGGCACCACACACACGCACACACACACACACACACACACACACACACACAGAGGCGAAATAGCTCTGCAGGGCTCCAGACTCCTCTCTTTCCCTTTGCTCTTGCTGAAGTTGGGACCCGAGGTCACAGGAGCCAGATTGGGATACCGAGGCCTGGAAGGGGAAGTCACACAGACCCCAGAACAGAGATAGGACAGCTACGAAGCGGCGCTCACACCCCATGTCAGGAGTCTCCCTGGACACCTCGTGCCTGGGGCTCTGAGCTGGACCAGGACGAGCCTAGAGGGGGACAAGAAGACAATGGGGCCGGAGGAGGTGCCCCGCTAGTGGGCAGCTTTGCCCCGCCTCCAGTCTCCTTCCAGTCCCAAGTGAACTTTCCCCCAGATCCCAGGGTCCAGCCCCGCCCCAGCCAGAGCAGGCCGGGATTGGTTGGAGCCGGAGGGGGCGTGTTCTGGGCTCCAACAGACCCTGGTCCGCGGAGCAGGCTGAGCAGGTGGATTTCCAAGATAGACCAAGGGCGAACCGGAGCTGCCGGACATACCGGGAACTGTCCTCTAGACATGGCCCCGAACTCCCTCGGTCCCCAGCCCTGTGGTCCAGCAGGGGTGCAGACAGCCTAAACACCGCCACCCTATGGCTCACGCCTCGCCCCTGACCCAGGCTCAGCCGGCTGGCCCAGAGGCCGTGGAGACGGTGCCCCCGGCCGTGGACCTGGTGCTGGGTGCCTCGGCCTGCTGCCTGGCCTGCGTGTTCACCAACCCCCTGGAGGTGGTGAAGACGCGGCTGCAGCTGCAGGGGGAGCTGCAAGCCCGGGGCACCTACCCGCGGCCCTACCGGGGTCTCATGGCCTCTGTGGCTGCTGTGGCCCGGGCTGATGGGCTGAGGGGCCTGCAGAAGGGGCTGGCCGCCGGCCTCCTCTACCAGGGCCTCATGAACGGTGTCCGCTTCTACTGCTACGGCCTGGCAGGCCAAGCTGGCCTCACCCAGCAGCCAGGTGGCATCGTGGTCGCTGGCGCCGTGGCTGGGGCACTGGGAGCCTTCGTGGGGAGCCCTGCCTACCTGGTGAGTGCCTGCTCTCCACCCTGGGACTCGATCCCACAGGGACTTTGCAGTCACCAGGGCTTTGTGGCCCCACTGGGGTGGGGCAAGCTGGGTGGGGCTGCTGCCTGGGAATATCTGGCCCAGGCCTGGAATCCGTCCCTTGCCCTGACCCTTGCTCCCCTGGGGTCCCTACACTGCTGCTCCTGAACCAAGGAAGGGGGCAGAGGGTGGCAGTAGATGTGCCAGTTCAAACCTGGCTTGGTCCCGTTTCCTCTGCATGGCCTGGTGTGAGTTAAGAATGAGAGCTGGCACTGGGTGAGGCCTCCTGTCCTGGTCTGGGCACTCTGCAGTCACCATGTCACTCAGTCCTCCAGGAGTGACAAAACCTGGTCCCAGAGAAGGTTAAGTGACTTGCCCTGAGTCCCACCAAGATGCAGACACAGGCAGACTGGAGTCTCGCCCTGGAGCCCAGGATGTACGGGCCAGGAGTAGCAACCAGAGACATCTGGGTTTCGGGGACACACTGCAGAGGGCCCCTCCCACGACCAGCTGGCATTGCAGGCTCTGCCCCCCGCTCCCATAGGTCAAGACACAGCTGCAGGCGCAGACGGTGGCTGCGATGGCAGTGGGGCATCAGCACCAGCACCAGGTGAGCCCCCGGCCCTGGACTCCCTGGGCTGTTCCTGTTCGAGGCTGGGCGGAGCTGACCAGGGACCTCCCACCCTCTCCCCGCAGAGTGTCCTGGGTGCCTTGGAGACCATCTGGCGGCAGCAGGGCCTGCTGGGGCTGTGGCGGGGCGTGGGGGGGGCTGTGCCCCGAGTGATGGTGGGCTCGGCCGCCCAGCTGGCCACCTTTGCCTCCGCCAAGGCCTGGGTGCAGGAGCAGCAGGTGAGGGCTGGGGACTCCTGTGCCTACCGGCACAGACAGGAGTGGGAGGGCCACCCGCCTCCTTCCCCACAAGAAGTCCAGGGTGGTGACAGATGGGGCCCCTTGAGGAAGCTGGGAGCCCTGGCTCTGCCATCCATGTTGTGACCCTGACCCTTGGGCCCAGCAGGAGTTGAGGGCAGTGTGACCCTGAGGCTGTGAAGGAGCTCAGGTGTTGGGGGGCATGGCCTCCTCCCTGACCAGCCCCTCTACCTTGTGTGCTGGGGGTCACCATGTGGGTGGATGAGGGCGGCTGCTGGGGTCAGATGTCTGTGCTGTCCCCACAGTGGCTCCCAGAGGACAGCTGGCTGGTGGCCCTGGCTGGAGGCATGATCAGCAGCGTAGCGGTGGCTGCTGTTATGACCCCCTTGGACGTGGTCAGCACGCGGCTGTACAATCAGCCTGTGGATGGAGCTGGCAGGGTGAGCAGGGAACGGGGTTGGGGAGGATGTGGGGAGCTGGGATCAACCCCCCAATACACACAGGCACAGCAGAGCCTGGGGGACACATGTGGCACACACGCATGTCACCTGGGCTTGTTTGATGAGCAGCTGTGTCCCAGGCACCGCCAAGCACTTCAACATCCAGCTATTATTCTTTTTCCTGAAGAGGAAATTGAGGCTCAGAGAGGTCAAGTGATTTGCCTGCAGTCACTCAGCTGCTAAGTGGGAGACTTGGGATTGGAATCATGGTCTTCCCATGGCACTGCCAGTCTCACAGATGTGCCCAAAACCAGGGTGCCCGTGTGCCTCTAGACAGGCTGAGAGCCCTGGCAGCGGGCTGTGTCTGCCTGAAGGAAGAGGCCTCCTTCCTAATGTCACAACCTACAGTATCACCTTTCTGCAGCCTGCCCCGCTGGGGACCAGTGCATTCTGATGTACCAGAAGAAGCCCTGGACACACAGACGTGCCAGTTTCCCAGTTGTGCCAGCTGGGGCCTCACAGCCCTTACAGTGACCCGTCCATGTCCATCCACAGGGCCAGCTCTATGGTGGCCTCGCGGATTGCCTGGTGAAGATCTGTCAACAGGAGGGACCCTTGGCGCTCTACAAGGGCCTGGGCCCTGCCTATCTGCGCCTGGGTCCCCACACCATCCTCAGCATGCTCTTCTGGGATGAGCTGCGGAAACTGGCCCGGCGGGGGGCCCAACACCAGGGCACCTAGGCCTTGTCCCTCACCCCACAGCCTGGCACAGTTTGGCACTTGGCCAGAAGTGATGTCCTTCCTCCATGAGACCGGCCATCCCAGAGTAGACCACAGGCCTGGCCCTGCCACAGGTGGGGGCAGCGTGTGGACAACAGTGGCCAACCCAGCCCACCCTGAGCATCCACTCAGAGTGGCCCCTGTCCTTCTCTCTGAGTCCTGGCTGAATGACCTGGGTGAGCAGCACCGAGCCGAGGGACCGAACTGTCTCGGCCCCTGGGTCCCCAACAGCAGTGAATCCAGCGAACCCTCCTTCACTTCTGCGGCTGAGACTGGTGTGGGGACGCCGCAGGGCTGTTCACTAGGGCTGCCCTGAAGGGGCCACGGACTCAGGGGCTTGAAGTGGGAAATCGTTTTCTCCCACCTGGAGGCCTGAAGGCTGAGATCACAGGGCCGCAGCTTGGTCCTCCTTCCTCTCCACGCTGGGGCCGGAGCCCAGGGCCTCACTGCACCACGTCCCAGCCCAGGGCTGGGTTCTCCTGACCTCTCCCCCTGGCTAGCAGCCAACTGCCATCTCCCTGGGTCCCGCAAAGGTGTCCCCTGGTGTAACTGTGTCCTAATGTCCTCTTACCAGGACTCAGGTCACATTGCTTTCGGGCCCACTCCAGTGACCTCACCTTTACTAGAGGATGATTATCCCTGTCTGCACCGCAGGCCCATCCCAAGGTCCTGGGGGTGGGACCTCAGAGTATGCATGGGGCCAGGGGACAGGGATGTGATTCAGCCTAGACCTCACCTGAGGTCTAGGTCTCGCTGAGACCCCGCAATTGCACATGTTCGGATGATTCCGAAAGGAGGTTCAGGGAGCCCGTGGTTCAGACCAGGAGGCTGAGGCCAGGAAAGGGATGGCTGCCCAGGTGAGTGGCGGGCACAGCCAGGGACAGGGCCAACAGCAGGCCCTGGCCCTTCCTCCAGCGGCAGCCACACTCCTGCCACAGGCCTGAACTGACCTTGGTATTGCCAAGGGAACCAGCTCCCTGGCCGGCAGGACTGGCCTGGTGGGTGCAGCCTCCCCTGCCACACCCTGGGTGTGAAGAGCGGGCCCTGGAGGCAGCCCCACTGCACACTCCAAACAATAAAGTTTTCTACTTTGTTTACCTCAAGGACTTCCTCCACCGCGGCCTCAGTTGCCCCACCCCTGAGTCCCCACCAGGGCTACCCGCTCCCCTCTGGGAAGGGAGCCCAAGAAGGGTTTCCAGTGGCCAGCCCCACCCTGCCTGGCCAGGCAAGGCTGCCACCTAGTGGACACAGGGGGAACATCAGGATGGGCAGCCCGGGGGGCCCAGGCAGGGGAGGGTTCAGGCGGGGGAGGGCCCAGGCGGGGGAGGGTTCAGGCAGGGGAGGGTTCAGGCGGGGGAGGGCTGGGGCAGGGCCCCCAGCTCGGGCTGCCAGAGATTGGAGGTCACCCGCTGAAAGGGCAGAGCCAGAGCTGAGGCTTCAGGAAGCTGGGCTACCAGCCCTCGTGGGAAAGCCACAGAGCCCAGCTCAGCAGGGGGGAGGCCCCAACCTCAGGATAAGAGGGCAGAGCCTAACCTCAGGCCGCAGGGGAGAGGCCCCAGACCTCAGGCTGTGGGGGAGAGAGCCCCTACTTCAGCCCCTGGGATGAGAGGAGAGGCAGGGCAGGCGGAGGCCCCGGGGCTTCAGGAAAGCACGGTATGGCCAAGCTCTCTGGGAGGGTAAGGCAAGTGGACACGGACTTTATCAGGCACAGAGACTGGAGCCCAGCCCAGGGACACCCCTTCGCCACCCCAGGCTGCTGTGGAGCTGGCTGGGCCTTGCGCTCCAGCAAGCAGCCCGGAGGGTTAACGCCCCAGCTCTCCTCCCTCCCTGGGCCTTTGACCCTCCCGGCTCCTCCCCTGCCCTCCACTGACACCTTTGGCCGGTGGTGGCGTCATTATTGGGTCCGTCCCTGTGCAGACCTGGCTGGAGGCTGGGGCCAGGTCGGGCTGCCATGTTCTCCCTCCGCTCCTGGCTCCCCAGCCTCCCCTCCCTGGAGTGGGGCTCCAGCCTCCTGGACAGCCTCCTGCAAGGTGAGCCCCTCCTCCGTGCCACCTGGCCCGCCCCCCCCAGCCGTCCCCTCCCTCCCTCCCTCCTTCCCTCCCTCCCAGCCCACACCTGCTGCCTCCCCGCCCCCCTGCAGGCCTCGTGGGGGCCTTCGGAATCTCCGTCCTGAACAGCCTCCTGAAAGTCTACTTTTTTGTGGGCTGTGCCAAGTGAGTGCCCACGCCCCATCCCACTGGAGTCCCTCCACCCTCCTCCCTGGCCTCCTCCCTGGGCCTCGAAACCCTTCCTGAGGCCCAGGAGGGTGGTCTTGCTCCTCTGCCCACTCTCCTCCACAGTGACCCCAAGCGGCAGCCCGAAAAGGAGCGGCTGCGGGCCCAGTGGGCCTGGCTGGAGACCCTGCACCTGGCCGGGCTGGCCCTGCTCCTGACGGTGGTGGGGTCCCGGGTGGCCGCCCTGGTGGTGCTGGAGTTCTCCCTCCGGGCTGTGTCCACGCTGCTGTCTTTGGGCAAGGTGAGGCTGGGGGTCCCTGCAGGCCCTCGTGTCACCCCTAGAACAGGGAAGCTGGGCCCCGTTTCCCTAAGATGGAGAAGAGGCTGCGGGTGGTTCCCTGGGGTTTTGACGGCCCAGATCCCAGTCCCAAGCACATGGGGACAGTTCCGTGACCTGAGCTTCCCGCGTGCCAGGCCCTGCACTAAGTACTCTGAGGCTTCGTCTCGTTTGACGCTCGCGGCCAGGGGGTCGCTGTGACCCTCATCGGCTCATCCATGGCCAACATCCAGCGTCAGATGTGACAGCAGCTCTTGGAGGCTGGGACGCAGGCGAGAGGAAGGGTCCCAACAGGCTCTCCTTGGGAATGGTCCCAAGGTCCCTGGGGGCTCTGGCCTCCCACAGAGTGGAGCCTTTGCCACCTGCCGGCCACCCTCCTCCTGTCCGCCCCAGCAGGGCTCCCGGAGCGCGGAGCGGCTGCAGCTGTTCCTGCTGAGCCAGTTCTCGCTGGGCTGCGGGCTGGCCTGCGCCCTGAGCGTCCTGCAGGAGGGCGCCCCGCACAGCACCCTCAACCTGCTGCTGAGCCTCGGGCTGGCCGCGCTGCTCAGCGCAGGCGCCCGGCGCCTCCACCACCACGTCTGCCGCCTCTACGAGCTGCACAGCGCCCAGCGCTACTGCGGGGTCTGCCTGGGCCTGCTGGCCGGGGCTCATGGCCTTCCCCGGCTGCTGGGCCGGGCCCTGGCCGTGGCCTTTGCCGTGGGCGACCTGGCGGCCGTGGTCCTCATCAACCAGGACTTCCTGAGCACCTCGGAGGCCGTGCGCTTCTGGACGCCACTCACCATCTGCTACACGCTGCTGGTCATCCACATGCAGGGTGAGGGCCCGGGGCGGGGTTCCTCTGATTGTAGGCACAGCCCACTGTCATCCCAGGGCACCGACCCAGGGGCAGAAGGCACACAGGCCACTCAGGGCAGATTCAGCCTTCAGCCTGCCGGGGGAGCCCCGAGGAGCTCGTGCCTGGTTTGGTCTCCAAAGCTGGGCAGGGCCCTCTGAGAGGTGAGGCTGAGGGGGACTATGGGCAGAGAGTCACATGTGCCAAAGCCCAGAGTGAGGGAGGGCACTGCACCGCACCATCAAACCTTGGACAGAAGTCCAGTGCAGCTGTCACCCAAAGGGCACTGGGAAGCGGTGAGGCTGGCCAGCTTTTTTTCTTTTTGCTAAAAGTTGCTGAGACTGGCCTCAAACTTGCTATCCTCCTGCCTCAGCCTCCCGAGTTGCTGGATTACAAGTGTGTGCCACCACATCCAGCCTGCTCTGTTTCCTTTTATGTTGGTTCCCAGGATTGAGCTCTGGGGGCACTTAACTACTGAGCCACATTTCCAGCCCTGTTTTGTATTTTATCTTTCATTGAGTTGCTGAGGCTGCCTTTGAACTTGAAATCCTTCTGCCTCAGGCTCCTGAGCTGTTGAGATTACAGGCGTGCTTAGATGCTTAAGAGCCTAACTGAAGGCCCTGGCCAGCCAGGTTGGGCCATCTGCTGAGAGACCGCTGCTGGGTTCCCAGCAGGGGAGAGTGCTATGGTCTGATCTGGTCTCTAGGGAAGAGCCCTGGCTGAAGAATAGAGATAGTCTAGGAAAGGCAGGGGGAGGGAGGTGTTCAGGCAGCGAGAACTGCAAGTGCAAAGGCCCTGGGGTGGGAATAAGCCTGGCATACTCCATGAACTAAAAGGAAGCCAGGATGGTTGGGGTAGTGAGCAGGATCAAGTTAGAGACACGGTGACGTTGGGAGTGGGCTCAGGCCAAATCAGGCAGGATCTGGTAAGGCCCAGGTCTGGGTTTGGATTTTCAAATGCAGAAGAAAGTCCTGAGAAGTTGTAAACAGAGGGATGATTTCATCTCCTGGACATGTTTAGAAGGTCACTTTAGCAGGTCAGTACACACTGGATCGTAGGGGCAGGGACAGAAGCCAAAGGACTGGGGGTGTAACTCGGTGGCAGAGCGCTTGCCTAACATGCAGGAGACCCTGAGTTCCATCCTCAGCCCCAAGAAAAAAAAGAACAGGAGCCCTGGGAGGGGCTGCCTTGGGAGGTGGCTTGGACCCGGAGGAGCCATGGGAGTTGGGGACGTGCGTGGAGGACTGGGCTTGCTGAAGGATCAGACGAGGCTGTGTGGGAAAGATAATTGGGTCAACCCCACAACTGCGGGGCTCTGTCCTGGGCCAGTGGGAGGCCAGCAGGTGAACGGGAGCCCTGGCCGGCGTGCCCAGCACCCTGTGGGTGCTCAGAGAGAGGGGTGGATGGGGGGGCAGCCAGGGGAGGTGAGAGCTGAGAGGCCCATGTGGCTCCAGCCGGACGTCTGAGTGGGGCCTGGTGCACGCGGTGACAGGTGCGCGACAGGCGGTGACAGGTGCGCCCCTCCCGCAGAGGAGCAGCAGCGCTTCAGCCTGCAGAGCCAGGTACAGACGGTGCTGGTGCGCATGGGCGGCCTCTTCGTGCTGCTGCTGACCGTCGGCCGCTGGATGGACCTCCTGGGCATCCTTGTCTCCCTGCTGGGCGAGCTCTGGTGCCTGGTGGGCGTCCGCGCCCTGCTTGACCTTTGCCAGATCCAGGTGGGCCCCATGCACCCCGGGTCCCCCAGGCCCGAGCGCCCTGCCCCAAACAGTCCCTGGCGCCTCCAGAGGCCCAAGTTTAAAGAGAGCCAGGGTGACCTCTCTTGGTGGAGGGCGGAGGGAGCTGAGATCTCTCCTGCCCCGTCCGTCCTTGCCAGCCTGAGCCGTCCCCTAGGTCACTAGGAACGCCCACTGCCCGCAGCAGCCTGCACTCAGAGGCCCCAGGGGAGGAGGGTCCGGGATGAGTGGGGGGTCTGAGGCCCCCAGGGGGAGGGGAAGTGGGTGGCCTCTTGATCCTCTCCCCGCCTTCCCCAGGGCTTTCCGTCCCAGAGGCCTTCCGCACCAGCTCCCAGCCAGCCCCTGCCCTCCACACCCCCGGGGTCCCAGAAGACCGCCCCCTCCTGACCTGCCTCGGGGAGGACTTGGAGCCTGTCTCAGGCCTGCTCCGGCTGACCAGCAAGGCCTGACCTTGGGACACTGCCTGGAGACACAGCCACAGGGCTGGCCCCCACCTGGGCCTTGCCCCCACCCCCTAGAGGAAGGGGAGGGTTGGGGGATGGGGGCCCTGGAGGCCTGAGTTAATCCTTCTCTGATGGGCAGGACTGACTTCTTGGGCAGGGTTGGGGGATGGGGGCCAACCGCATCCTCAGGTTGCTTTACCCCTTTACGCCTCCATGAACAATAAAGATGATTTTCTTTTTTAAAAAATTCTTTTAGTTGTACATGAACACAATACCTTTGCTTTACTTATTTATTTTTATGTGGTCCTGAGGATCGAACCCAGGGCCTTGCCTGTGCTAGGTGAGCGCTCTACCTCTGAGCCACAACCCCAGCCCCTAAATATGATTTTCTTAAAGTGCTCAGAATCACAAAGACACAGAAAGGAAAAGAGGTTTTCAGAAGCCACACAGCAATTCTGTTGGAGTCCTGGGGTAGGCTCCTCAGGGCTGGCTCAGGCTCGGTGAGTTCCTGGGGAACCGGGCTCCTTGCAGACAGAGGAAGGGCGCTCAGGGGTGGCGTGGAGGGTGTAGTATTGAGGTGGCTGAGGAGGTGAGAGGCTGGACACATAGTCTGGCACCCACCTGCAGTCTTAGGTGGACAATGTCCCATCCCACACTGAGAACCAGCTGGAGAGGGCCCCCTAAGGCCTCTTGTGCTCTTGGGTGCCCTGGATACAGCCTGCCCTGAATCCCAAGACTCTTGTATAAGACCATGAGGAAGGATCCTTCCCATCTCATTCCTGTTCTGGGCCAAGATCAGGGAGACCAATGCCCTGGGCACAGCTCCTCTGCTTGCCTTCGCATGGCGCTCTCTGAGCCTGTGGGAAGAATCACTACCAGGTGTGGGGGCTTATCCCCTTTCGTTTTGACCTCAACCCCAAGAGGCCATAGCTGTTATCTCTTTTTACAGATTTAGGAGCCAAGGCCCAGAGAGGTTAAAGAACTTGCTCAAGGGCACACAGGAGGGAGTAAGCTTCAGGATTTGAACGCAGGCAGTCATCTCCAGGGCTCAAGTGCTTTGTGGGTTCCTGGCTCCCTCTTTTGGTTGGAGATATGGGATCCAGGAAGCGAACAGGGCCAGCCCGCTCTGGAATGTGGTTCTGGCTACCTTTTGTCCAGGGTAGCCTGAGGCCCCTGGACAGGCAGGACATCCAGCCCACAGGGTGATTGGGTTTCTTGGGGATCAAGGGCCCCAACTCAGGGTACTGAGGAACCCCACTGCCATCAGCCTCCACGGGTGGGAGAGTCGAGGTCGTCTGGGCTTGGCAGGGAAGAGCTGAAACCTGGAGAAGGTACTAGAGGACTCCAGGCTCCGAGGGGGGAAGTCCTCTCTGCAAAAACCACCGTGACCACCTGTAGGCTGCTGCTTGGGAGCAGGTGGGTGGGGGTGGCCTTGAATTCTCCACTCCGCACCTCAGTGTTGGGATTCAGGACAGGCTATACCCAGGGCTGGACACGGAGCTTTCCACCCGTTCCCCATGAGTGGCCACCCTGGGACAGCTAGGGCACAACCCTCCCCCAGGACAGGGTGTGGCCGGTCAGGAGGGTGGGTAGTGCCTGTGGAAGCCCCTCCTCCAGGACAGAACCCAGAGCCCCCTCCCTCTGGGCAGGAAACCAGGCCCAGGCCCGTGTAGGCGGAAATGGCTCAGCTGGGTGGGTGCAGGGCCAGACTGGACTCTGGGTTCCAACCAGGGCTGGGTGTTTTTGCTGGAAGGTGACCCAGTCTCTTAGGCCCTGGCACAGACTGGGACCCATTGGGGACAGGGTTTGGGGGGTGGTGACTGGACCCAGAAGTCTTTTCCCTTTTATGGGCACAGAGACTGTTTTGCAAACAAAGCCATCTAATTTTTAGACCCTTGTCAGACACAAAATAATTCTCACAAAATAATTTGATAAGAAAAGAATTCTATTCCAGCCGCGGGTCCCGATTTTCCAGTGAGGCGTTCAGCAAATCTCCACACCAAATGAAGGAAAGATGGCCTTAGGTCCCGAGGGCTTGGGGCAATCTGAACCGCAGGGTCTGGGTGAAGCCCGAGGGGAGACTGGTTCTCCCCCAGGGACCCCAGGGCTCTGGCTCTCAATGGGGTGACATCCTTCTGAAGAGACGGGGGCTGGGACTCAGGACAGAGCACCTGCCTAACAGGCGCCAGGCCCTGGGTCCCCCTCCCAGATGGCAGAGATAAAGACGAGGTGCCAGGCCGGGTCCCCAGTCCCTGCTTAGAGTAGGTGGTGCCTGCTGTGGGCTGGGACTGGGTGAGCTGGCCTGCCCCTCCTGAGACCCCCGGGGGCTCTTCTGAGCTATGCCCTGCCCCCGGGGGTCCTGCGTTCCTTCACTTACCCCTTCAGTCAGGGGCTGCTGGGCCGCTGTGTGGCCAGCATGCTGAGGTGATGGATGGACCGCTGGGTGGACCTCCTGGGCACAGCCCTGGCCTCACGGAGGTTCCCCGCTAGGACAGAAACAAGGTGATAGCAAGTGGTGACTAGAACTGCTGGAGAGGCCTCAAGCTGGGTAAGGGGTCAGGGTGCGTGGCGGGCGCCAGGCTGTCTCTGTTACGCATGCTGTGTAACAAATAGCCCCAGAAATCAGCATTAAAACAACGGACACTTATTGTCTTGCTTTTTCTTTGGCTCGTGAATCTGGGTGCAGCTCAGCTGGACCGTCTGGCTCAGAGTTTCTTGCCAGTTGCACTCAGGGGTCAGCTGGGGCTGCAGTGCCATCAAGGCTGGGGACTTCCCGCAACTCCTTGTCCCAGAACATGGCAGCTGGATTCCCTCAGAGAGAGCAAGGGACAACCCAATACTGACAGTGCATCCCAGTGTCTTTGCCATATTCTAAGTAAGTCTGGTTTCCATCATCCTCTGAACTGCCACATGGTGAATCCCAGGAGGAAGGGTCCTGGGGACAGTTCAGAAGCTGCCTTCCTTGGAGGGCCGCTTTGAGGTGAGGAGGATATTTGTGCGGAGTGTGGGAGCGAGCCAGGCAAGAAACCGAGGGAAGACTGTCAAGGGCTGAGGGATCAGCAGGAGCAAAGGCCCTGGGGCAGGAGCAGCGCTGGAGCATTATAGAAGCCTCACAGAGGACAGACCACTCAGGGACAAAGCCAGTGTCGGGATTTTTTCCCCATGTTGGGAGCCAGGGAGGGTTTTATACACGGAAGTGACTAAATCTGATGCACACTTTCAAAGGATTCCTCTCAAAGCTGCTTTTGGAATAGACAGTTTGGAAACAGGACAACCAGTCTGGGAGCAACTGGAATCACCCAGGTGAGATGATAAGTTCACGGGCCAAGGGGGTGGACTGAAGTCCGCGGGGGTCTTAGGACTCCAGAGTACTCTAAGGGACCTGGAAGGGTTGGCGTGGCTGTCACTGAGGTGGGCAAATCCATTTTAAGGACCCCCTTAGGAAAAATAATACGAAACTCTTCTGAAAAGGGATATTTATTTGGAATGAGAAAGGAAAACACAATTAATTATTGGAGACTCAGAGATTTGAGTCCGTCCTCCTGACATCTCTCTGGGTAGTTTGCCAGGAACATTTCAAGGAAATGCTTCCCCGAGCAGAACTTGGCCTCCCTCCCTGCCTACAACACTCCGTAGCTCCCAGCAACCCCCAGTCCTCACAGGAGCCAGGACAGCCTGAGCCTGGGTTTCATTAGCTTCTCAGTCAGGTCACCCTGGGGTAAGAGAGAAGTGAGAGGGCAACGGGCAGCCCCAGGGGCCAGCCCATCCTACTTTTGGAAGGAGGGGTCTCAGGGATTGGGGGTGGGGGTGGGTATTACTGGGAGCAGAGGTTCCCAATAGGATGGGGCTCCAGGAGGAGGAGGCTGGGATTGGTGAGGGAACAGGGTCTCTGCCGAGGAAAATAACTGAGAACTGGGGGTCTCTAGGGCCCTCCCATGCGGCTGACACCAGAATTCTTTGCTCTCTGCGGCAGAGGGGCTCTGGGCCACAGGCCAACATCAGGGAAGCCCTCCCAGTCCTGAGCCTCAGGGACCCTCCTGGCCCTCCAACACTGTCACCCCTCTCTGGAGCCTGTACTGGCTCTGGACAGAGGCCATGGGAATCCCAGCCTCCCAGAGCTGGCTCAGCCCCCAGCCCGGAGGGGATTAAGGCCCAGACACTGCCAGGTCTGGGGAAGCCAGGGCCCTGCTGGGTGAGGCAGGGGGACATAGGCCTGGGGCCTGGGGTGGGGACTCCTGCGGCTGTCACACTTCCCTACAAACTTGGCCCAGTAGGTAAAGAAAGGGGCCTGGACTTGAACAAAGCTCACTCACTAGTGGACGTGGCCTTGAGCGAGTCACTCTGTGCCCCGGGTCCCCCTTTGCTGAGATATTGGAGAAGATGAGGAGGTAGGATACTAAGCCTGGACCCTGACCAGGGCCTCTAGAGCCCACAGTGGACACAACTGGGCTTCAGCACACCCTTCTGAGGGGAAGGGCCAGGGAGCACTTTGAGGAAGGAGACCCTGCCAGGGCGGGAGCAGAGGCAGGGGCCATGTCAGAGGGGACAGGGAGGAAGAGGCCAGACCTCCCCTCTCCCGCCTCCACCAGGCTCCTCCCCGGGGGACAGCGGAGTCCCTGGCAGATCGTCCCTCAGGGGCCAACTCCCCGACAGGAATTGCTTTTATTCCTTTTCTTTTTTGTACTGGGAAGGGAACCAGGGGCGCTCCCCACGAGCCACGCCCCTGCCCTTTTTATTTTTTATTTGAAGACGGGGTCTCACTAAACCGCCGAGGCTGGTCTTGAACTTGCCCTCCTCCTGCCTCAGCCTGGCCACCTGGAGGAGCGTTCTCCTGGCCGTAGGACCCGGCCTTCTCCCCGGCCTCGCAGGGAGGGGATGCTGGTCTGCCTCCCCAGGACAAAGCCGAGGTTGAGGCGGAGCAGGAGTAAGTGACTTCCTCAAGGTCGTGGGTCACAGGAGATGGGGGACTGCAGCTCCAACCCTGGGTTCTTGTGTCCAGACGGAAAAAAACCTCAGAGTCAGACGCAAAAAGCCAAGTGAGAGAACTTTATTCTGAGTGAAAGGTGAAGGAGGCCGCAAGCCAAGGGCTCGAGAGAGGGACTGAGAGGGGGGGACCTCCAAGCA